CAAAAGCCTTACTAAAGTCAAGATATACCACATCTACCTCTTCCCAGAAGGCTTGTTACCCTGTTAAAGAAAGGTTTCAAAGTAGCAGCCGTGTTAGTCTGTATCCGCAAAAAGAACAGAAGTACTTGTGGCACCTTAGAGACTAACAAATTTAATAAAGCATAAGCTTTCGTGGGCTACAGCTCACTTCATCAGATGCATAGAATGGAACATATAGTAAGAAGATATATATATACATACAGAGAAGGTGGAAGTTGCCATACAAACTGTAAAAGGCTAATTAATTAAGATGAGCTATTATCAGCAGGAGAAAAAAACTTTTGTAGTGATAATCAAGATGGCTCATTTAGACAGTTGACAAGGTGTGAGGAAGTACACTACAAAAGTTTTTTTCTCCTGCTGATAATAGCTCATCTTAATTAATTAGCCTCTTACAGTTTGTATGGCAACTTCCACCTTCTCTGTATGTGTGTGTGTATATATATATATAGATATATATCTTCTTACTATATGTTCCACTCTATGCATCCAATGAAGGCTGTAGCCCATGAAAGCTTATGTTCTAATAAATTTGTTAGTCTCTAAGGTGCCACAAGTACTCCTGTTCTTTTTGTTAAGAAAGCTATTAGGTTGGTTTGACACGATTTGTTCTTGACAAATCCTTTCTGTTACTTATCATCTTATTATCTTCTATTATCTTTTGTTTAATATGCATTATTAATGTAGACTCAGAATTTGTCTTTTCCAAGGACACAGTCAGTGATATTATTTGTATTTTGGTAGCGCCTAAAAGCCACCACCCTGGTTGGTCTCCCATTGTGCAAGGCACTGTACAAACCAAGGCCTCAATCCTGTATGCACTTAAGCACATCTAACTTTATGCACTTAGCAGTCCCTTTGAGGCCAGTGAAACTAGTCACATGTACAAAAGCACTCACAGGATCACAGCCATAGAATAAAAAGTCCCTGTCCTGAAAAGTCTGAAAGATTTTCTTCTACGAAAGGCTTTAAGGAAAAACAAAACCCCATTGGAGTTTATGTGTAATTTAAAGAGAATAGCAACAGAGGTACAGTAGCTGTACGAGAAAAATATATTCTAAATCTATTTAACTGATGTATACATGATGCTTTACTCACCAAAAATCGCCTGTAATATTCCAAAGGTTCCACAGTTCTAAAACAGACACAAAATTTAAAATTCATATGCATAATCTGTTTTACAAAGTAAATGGCTACCTAAAGTCTAGCAGAAAAGAAAAGCAAGTGTTACTCAGTGGGCATCTGTGTTTCAGAGTCAAGCTCTGTTTTTGTTCCTTGGCTGACAATGCTGTGGAGACAGCACATTAGCCAAGTGAGTGCCAACTTCAGAAAGACTAGAGCCCTCTACAGTGTTCTTTCTGATCATTTTGACACCAGAACTCATAGGTTCTGGAGGGATGGTTGCCTCGTGGCAAGGGCTTTGAAAAAAGGTTAGAAAGAGTGAAGTTTGGAAAATGGGAGAAAGAGAGATACTTTACTCTTTCATCCCACAACAAAACCCACCCTTTACTGCAGCTAATGTAACTGCATACATAAAAAATCTTAGCTTGAAAACTGACAATCTGTAAAAGCTAATATTATGATGGAGTTGGTAGCAATACCATAGTTATGGCTGCATAAGAGAGCTGATTGAGATAGGTGTGTTAAATATTTTTTAAGAAATGTTGCAAATTAAAATGTACATAGTATTTGAATTTTTCAGGTTAGTTTGATGATTAATTGGCTTATGCATACAGAACGTGACTGCTTCAAAAATTACCACTTTTTAAAATTTTCAGTGGGGTGTCACCTTTGTATTATTATTTGATACCTGAAGAGCTTACAATCTAAATTCTCAGAGCCCTATTGTAAAATGTGTATAACATATTGAAATCCTGATTTTTGATTCACACATTACTCTACTGTTGGTATTAATAATACTTGAAATTATTAATATTGGAAATTAAAAACCAATTTAACCATAAATTCCTTATTAAATCCAAAGACCAATATGTAGTTGGTCTAACCATGCCTAAAAAGCCTAAATACTAAGCAATTTACTACATCCAAATAGTAACAAATCATTTATAAGCATTTGATCAATATACTTACAAATGAGCTAACCCCAGTGCTTAAACCCATATTGGTTGGCTGTAACATGGTCAGGTAGGTATTAGCAATGAACCCTTTAAAAGCTTATTTTTATGCCCTTTAACAAAGAAATGTCATTGCCAATTACTGGTTTTCAGCTGAAGTAAAATCTGAGACAGTTCACCCTTATTTCCAGTCAGATGAAATTTACAACTTCCTGTCTTCCCAAGGGCTTTCCTCCCCGCCTTCTTGCTGTCCAACAGTTTTCCCATTGCACCTGGGTTCACATAGGCTTTAACGCTGGTGTGTGGGTTGGTGAAGGGCTGTGTTGGCTCGTTTTAAGATAGATTCTCTTTATTTGATTTAAAACCATCTGCAGTCACCCCTATTGGTCAGAGGTCTTCTTTTTAGAAACTTCCCCTTATCCCATTGGTTATTCTTTCAACCAGACATCCTCCCTACTTTATTCCTTCTGGCCTTATCACTTCTTATTTTCAAGGCCTTCCCTCTACTTTGCTTCTCAAGGCCTTTCTTTACAACACAAATATATTTCCTTAACCAAATTTAAGATAAATGTAAAATTAAAGAATTCAAGTTATCCCACATCTACCTATGTTTATTCGGAGCATAAATAAATAATCGTTCTCTTCATACACGTTACAAATACACCAATGTATGTAGTATGACAACAGCATTTTTAAAATAGAATTTAATGCTGCAGGCTGTTTTCTGCATAGCCCTTCTGATGAGACAATTTTTCAAATCAGAGAGTTGCTAAGACAGCGAACACAGAAACTAAGACAGAATGTTCCACAGCCACAAACTGTTATGACACTAACATCAGAGACATTAAAATGACATTTCCAGGAGAGAAGTTAATCTTTGGCACAAGGCCTTCCCAGGTTTTGTTCAAACAAAGATTTTTGGAAAAAAGTCATGGAAATGATAACTAAGAGTGAGAACTTTTATTACGTTTTCCAAGACAACATAAACTCGACATAATTCTGACAATTTACAAGCACAAGGGTAATGTTAATCCCTGTTGGTGTTCCTTGAGATATTCCCAACTAGCATGGACATAAGGGCAATTCCTCACTGTCTCAGGAAATGCTACTATGCCCCATTTAATTGATTGTGAGACATGGGAGAAGCAAAAGATAGTTTGGTCAATGCAGAAAGAACCTTCCCCCAAATGCCTAGGAACAGACTCCTTGTCCAACCAGTCCTTACACTTAACACCCACTTTCCTCTAACTGGTTTCAGAGTAACAGCCGTGTTAGTCTGTATTCACAAAAAGAAAAGGAGTACTTGTGGCACCTTAGAGACTAACCAATTTATCTGAGCATAAGCTTTCGTGAGCTACAGCTCACTTCATCAGATGTAGCTCACGAAAGCTTATGCTCAAATAAATGGGCTAGTCACTAAGGTGCCACAAGTACTCCTTTTCTTTTTCCTCTGTCTCCTGACGGATCCCTCCACTCCAGCAACTTTAATACCTCGGCCTTGTTTTGATTAGGAAGAGATTATAGTTATTATGACTTCCACCAAGACTTTTGCTCTGGCATAGACAGAGATCCACATGTTTCAAAACACCTTAGCTGGTTAAGATTAGCTCTCACTTTAAAAAAAAAGCCAAACATAAACCTTAACCTGCCATCTCACTTCCGCCCCAAAATATTTCATATCCAGGGTCAATATTACTGGGAATTAAATGCTTTTTGGCAAAAGTATGAGACAGCAGTTATGGGTGTGAGTTATGCTACAAGGCTGATGAACATAGGAAGAATAGTGTATTTCTGTAACTCCTTGAAGCAGAAGGAACTTTTCTCTGGTAGACTGCAACGTTGCATTGAAAGTGGATAATCTGAGAGGGGTGTAGCGAGGTAGGGGCTGGTCTCTCCCCTTAACTGGACACTGCCTGGCTGTTAAAGGGCACGTTCCTATTACTGACCCAAAACCTTAATAGCTTTAACTGCCTCTGAACTAAGCTTTTAGTTTTAGAATACAGATAAATTTGGATGGAATAAAAAATACACAACAAACAAATACAACAAAAAACTTGAGAGGGACAAATTAAATGTTGATTGTCTAATAGAGAGTAAGGGCCACAAATTACAATTCTGCACAAGCATCATACTCTGTATATGGGGAGCCCCAGTGAACTCACTGGGATTTCTCACATGCATAAAATTACACATGTGCCAAGTGCATGCAGGACACATGCCCTTAGCCGCTCGATTTCCACGGTCACCAATAACAAGTGGATCAGCTCTGCCGGGGGAAGGTAGGGGCGAGAGGGGAGTTTCCTAGGCGGTGTGTTTCTCTCCCGCCCCCACTTCCAAGCGGGGGAGCCGCTCCTGACAGCAGCCAGTTCCCAGACTCTGGCCTGGCAGAGCTCTGGGCACGGCACGTTTCGAGCAGGCAGCGGGTCGGTCCAGCTGAAGGCTAAACCCACCCACAGCCTGGCAGCTGCGGCCATCGCCGGGCCGGAGGGCTCGGCAGCGGCCTGGGCCCAGGGCAGCTTCCAGGCAGACGCGGGCCGCGTTCCCGGCTCCCCGCGCGGCCAAGGTCGGGGGCTGAGAGCGCCCCGGGCCGCAGCTCCCGCGAAGAGCCCCGCTGAGGAGACTGATGGCGCCGGGCCCGGCAGCTGTATCGACCCCCCGGGGCCAGAGGCGAGCCCGGCTCAGAGCCAGCCCGGCCCCCGGGAGGGGGAGGGGCGAATGCCAGGCCGGGCCCAGAAGCTGCGTCGCCCAGTCACTTACTTGAATCCGGCCGCCATAGTCTCACTTCCGCCCGTGCGCGATCTACTTCCGGGGTCGGGAGCGCACTTCCGCTCCCCCAGCCTCTCCCGCGCGCCACCCTGGGGGGATTCGGCGGGCTGGCTGGCTGGCTGGCTAGCCGGGAGTGGCCGACAGGGGGCGCTGTGGAGCCCGGCCGCTCCGAGAAGTGGCTCCTCTCGCCGAGACAGTTTGCTGTCAGCGCCGCGGCCGGGAGCCGCTTCCGCATCGGTGGAGCTGCCCCATAGGGCCCCGCCTGGCATGGACCATGGAGCTGCTCCTGGGTGACGCGGTCGCGGCGCTCGCCGCCTTGGCGGCCGCAGCCCTGAGCCTGGTGAGTGCGGAACCGAGCGCGCCCCCCCCCCTCCCGCCCCGCGCCGAGAGTGGGGAGAGACCCCCCCGTGGGGAGAGGGAGCCCCCCAACCCCAGGGGGCCCCGCACCCACTAGCCCTGAGGGGGCCCGGGCGGGGCCATCGCGCCGCAAACAGGGCCGCCCCCGAGAGAGCTGAGAGCCGGAGCCCCTCGCTGGGCGAGGCCCCGCTTATCCCTTCCTAGTGGGGAGCAGCCCAGAGCCCCCGGGGGGGCACTGAGGAGGAGCTGATGCCTAGGGAAGGGCCACGCACCTCTTTGTCACACCCCTAAAGGTATTCGCAGACTCTCGTCTGGTCCCTCCTTAGTCTTCTTTTCTCAAGACTAGAGCCCGGTGTTTTTAATCTGTTCTCCTAGCTCAGGTTTTCTAAACTTTTTATCATTTTTGCTGCTCTCTTCTGGACTTAATCCGGTTTGTCCACAGCTTTCCTAAAGTGCAGTGTCCAAAACGCGGCAGGGTGCTCCAGCTGAGGCCTCACCGGTGCTGAGCAGACCAGGACAGTTACTTCCCCCAGCTTGCATCTGACACTCCTGTTAACAGGAGCCTTTTTTGCAGCTGCATCCTGATTGTTGGCTCATGTTCAGTCTGTCATCCGCATAAACCCCGGATCCCTTTCAGTAGTACTATCAGCTAGCCAGTTATTCCCCATTTTGTAGTTGTGCAATTGGTTTTTTTTGTTCTTCCTAAGTGTAGTACTTTGCGTTTGTCTTTATTGATTTTCATTTTGTTGATTTTTAGACCAATTTGTCAAGATCATTTTGAATCCTACCTTTGTCCTCCAAAGTGCTAACAACACTTCACAGTTTGGTGCCCTCTGCAAATGTTATAAGTATACTCTTCATTCTATTATCCAGGTTCTTAATGAAACTTTGAATAGGTCTGGACCCACGACAGATCTTTGAGGGACCTCACTAGGTATTTCCTCGCAGCTTCACAGTGAGCCTTTGATAACTACTCTTTGAGTACGATCTTTCAGCCAGTTATGTACTCACTTTATAATGATTTACTGTAGACCACATGTCCCTAGTTTGCTTATGAGACTGTCAAAAGCCTTACTAAAATCAAGATATATCACATCTGCCACTTCCCTTGCCAGCCACTTGGCTGGTAGCCCTGTTAAAGAAGAAAAGTAGGGATTTGGGATGATTTGTTTTTGACAAATCCATGTTGGCTATTACTTATTGCCTTAATAACCTCTAGGTGCTTACAAATCTTTTCAGGTATCGAAGTTAGACTGACTGGTCTATAATTTCATGGGCTCTTATTTCTCTCCCCTCCCTCTCTTTTGAAGATAAGTACTATGTTTGCCCTTCTTCTGTCTTCTGGGCTGATAATCACTTCCAGGATTGCTCCAACTAGTTCTTTAAGTACCCTAGGATTAATTTCATCAGGCTGTACCATCTTGAATATATCTAATTTACCTCAATATTCTTTAACCAGTTCATTCCCTATTCTGGATTGTGTTCCTTCTTCCTTACTCTTAATATTGTGTTATGTATCTGGTCACCATAAAAACTTTTTAGTGAAGACTGAAGCAAAATAGTCATTAAACACTTCAGACTTTTTGATGTTATCTATTATTAGCTCTACTTCTTTGCTATGTAGTGTGTTTCCTTCATCTTTCTGTTTTTCCTAATGTATTTATAGAGCCTCTTGTTGCCTTTGCTACGCGTAACTCATTTTGTGCCTGAGCCATTCTGATTTTGTCCTTACATGCTTGTGCTATTCTTCTGTACTCCTCCTTAGCAATTTGTTTATATTTTCACTTTTTGCAGGATTCCTTTTTAATTTTCACAATGGTCATTAAAGAGCTCCTAATGCAACCATATTGACCTCTTAGTATTATTCCTGTCTTTCCTTTGCATTGGAATAGTTTGCTGTTGAACCTTTAATATTGTCTCTTTGAGAAACTCTCTCCTGAACTCCTTTTTCCCTTAGATTTTCTTCTGATGGGACCTTACCTACTATTCCCTGAGGTTGATAAAGTCTGCTTCTTTGAAGTCCATTGTCCTTATTCAGCAGCTTTCACTCCTTCCTTTCCTTAGAATTAGGAAATTTATCATTTCATTGTCACTTTCACTGAAATTGCCTTCAGCTTTCAGATTTGCAATTCATTCTTCCCTGTTAGCGAGAATCAAGTTTAAAGTGAATGTCTCCCTGGGAACTTCCTCTACCTTCTGAAACAAGAAGTTGTCCCCAATACAGTCCAAGAATTTACAGGACACTTTGTGTTATGACACTTTACTTTTCCAACAGATGTTCAGGTAGGTCTTGTGTTTTGGATATTTCTGTTCTTTGTTCTAGAAATGACTCCTCCACTGCCTCTGATGTTGTGGTTTATTGTAGATCCCTAATATGACTTTGCCCCTCTTTGTTTGTTTTTCTGTTTTTATCTTCACCCAGGGACTTTAAACTTGAGTGCCTCTCACCACCTTCTGGACCTCAGAACAAGTGTATATATTCTTGGTGTGTAATCTAACATCTACTCCCTTTTTTTTGTCTGCCTTAGCTTCCTGAACAAGCTATACCCCTCTATACCAATATTGCAATTGAGATTCATCCCACCAATTCTCGTGATACCTATTAAATCATAAGTTAGCTATTGTACTAATACTTCCAATTCTTTCTGTTCATTCCCCATACTCCTTGCATTTATGTATAGACTTCTAAGATGTTGAACAGATTCTCCCACTTTTTTACCTCTTGCTGCTCCTATGACCCTATTGTAATTGTTCGTTCCATCCCAAACATCTAGCCCTCTGGTAAGGGCACATTTTCTTTATATCTACATCTTTTGTCACCTGCCCCCTTTGAACCTAATATAAAGACTTTCCCACTGGGTTGGCAAATTGGTGTGCAAAGGTGTTCATCCTTCATCTCATACAATATTATCTAATCTCAGTGAAGTGCTTTCTCACATGAGGCTTATCAATCTAAACACTACAGTTTTGTTAAAATACGAAACTGGACAGAATTGTGACTGCAACTGTGCCAGGTATTTTTGGACTGTAGTAGGTACTCCATATGTTATGGGTTATGGTCTGTTATAAAATACCCACAGATCTCTGCAGATACCGTACCACAAAGCTGAAATGTATCAGGGTTCAAGTTTCAAATTTTTCTGCTTTTCTAACAGTGAATAACTACTAATTTATATCCAAAATATTTTTAAATTGTAAACCTAATTTAACTAAACAAACCCAGCTGGCTTTGTAAATGAACTGAAAACAGTGTTCTATTTCTTTCTTTTATAACACAAAAAATATTTTGTTTTTGTCTTTTTTTATTTTTTAATAATTTAGAAACATAATGTTCTCTTCTAGAATACTGGGAGGTCTGTAGCATGTGGAAACCCAGATACCACTGATAGTTAACAGTATCACATACATTGCTTGAATATATTGCTGTACATACAATCATTTTGAACATTTTTTAAACCTTAACACTAATATAACATTAAGATTGTAAGATCAATCACAAAAGTTGAGAAATTCCAGAAGTTAGTTTGGCAATACTAATTTATGTTGATAAATATAAACCTTAATTACTCTTATTAATGTGGTGAATTGAAATTTAACAAGTGAGAGGAGCAAAAAATACTACAGGTTTGCACTATGGCTAAGGCTAAGATTTTGTCACTGATATTTTTAGTAAAAGTCACGGACAGGTCACAGGCAATTAAAAAAAAATTCACAGAAGCCCATGACCTGTCTGTGACTTTTACTAAAAATATTCGTGACAAAATGGGGAGCTGCGTCCAGCTTCCGCGAAGAGCCCCGCTGAGGCGACTGATGGCTCCGGGCCTGGCAGCTGCATATCTTCCCCCCTCCTCCACCCCGGTCCAGCTGCCGGGGATCCAGCTTGGAGTTCCAGGGGTCACCACCACCCATGGGCGCTCAGAGCTGTGGGGTTAACTATGGCTAAATTAGAGTTGTCAGATCAACTTTATCTTTGGAAATTTCATGATGTTGAGTGCTTAAACTTGCAACCTCAACATAGTATTTGAATTAGCTGTGTGCATTCATCCATTCTCCCTCTCCTTCCCCCCCTTAATTTTTTAGTGGTTCATCTGGGGCAGAGGGTTGAACAAAAAGGAAATTAAATAAAATATGAAGGAAATAGATTTACACACTTTAAAATTCTGCTGGCATCACAAGCAGACCTTGAGCTGAATCAGCTGGATGGAAGAATTTAATCAGAAAAATGTGAATGAGAGTTGTTTAAGAACGCTTTACTAGATGCCCAAAAAGCCACAGTTGAGAAACATGGTTAAAAAACCAACCTGGGGAAGTGAAAGCATCTATAAAAAAATATGTATAACAAATGGAAGAAAATAGAAGTTGATAGTTCTTAACATAAATCAGAAGCTAGAAACCATAGAAAATTGATAAGAGAAGCAAAGGACACACAGAGAAATCTATGACCAACAGAGTTAAAGACAATAAGGAGGTTTTTAATTATATTGGGAACAAAAAGAATCCTGCCAATGACATTGGTCTATGGATGGATAGAAGTGGTAGAATTATCAATAATCAGAAAAGGCAGAAGTGTTCAACAAAAAATTCTGTTCTATATTTTGGAGAAAAAACAAAATGTTATATCATATGGTAACTCTCTTTCCATTCCCTGAGTATCTCTGGAGGATGTTAGACAGCAGCTACATAAGTTAGACATTTTTAAATCATCAGGTCTAGATAACGTGCATCCAAGAGTTTTAAAAGAGCTGGTTGAAGCGCTCGCTGGACTCTTAAACACTGATTTTCAATAAGTCTTGGAACACAGTGGAGTTTCCAGAAGACTGGAAGACCGCTAATATTGTGCCAATATTTTAAAAGGTAAACAGGATGACCTGGTAATTATAGGCCTGAATGTCTGACATTGGTTTCAGCACGTTAATGGAGTGGCTGATATGGAACTCAATCAATAAAGTATTAAAGGAGGGTGATATAATTAATGCCAGCCAACATGAGTTCATGGAAAATAGATCCTGTCAAACTAACTTTAAATTTTTTTATAAAATTACGAGTTTGGCTGATAACGGTAATAGTATTGATGTAATATACTTAGACTTCTGTAAGATATTTGATTTGGTACCACACAATATTTTTTAATAAAAAATTAGAATGATATAAAATTAACATGGCGCACATAAAGTTGATTAAAAGCTGGCTAGCTATTAGGTCTCAGAATGTAATTGTAAATGGGCAATCATCATCAAGCAGAGGTGTTTTTCTAAAGGGATCGGGCAGGCAGCAGTTTTTGGCCCTAAGATATTTAATAATTTTAGTAATGACTAGGAACAACACACACAGTCATCACTGATAACATTTGCAGATGACACAAAAATTGGAGGATTGATAAATAATGGAGAGGACAGGTCACTAAAACAGAGCAATCTGGATTACTTGGTAAACTGGGTGCAAGCAAACAATATGCATTTTAATATGGATAAATGTAAATGTGTACATCTATAAACAAAGAATGTAGGCCACACTTACAGCATAGGAGACCCTATCCTGGGAAGCAGGGACTCTGAAAAATATGTTTCAGAGTAACAGCCGTGTTAGTCTGTATTCGCAAAAAGAAAAGGAGTACTTGTGGCACCTTAGAGACTAACCAATTTATTTGAGCATAAGCTTTTGTGAGCTACAGCTCACTTCATCGGATGCATACTGTGGAAAGTGTAGAAGATCTTTTTATACACATAAAGCATGAAAAAATACCTCCTCCCACCCCACTCATCACTCTCCTTAAAAGTTATCACTTTAGATAAGCTATTACCAGCAGGAGAGTGGGGTGGGAGGAGGTATTTTTTCATGCTTTATATGTATAAAAAGATCTTCTACACTTTCCACAGTATGCATCCGATGAAGTGAGCTGTAGCTCACAAAAGCTTATGCTCAAATAAATTGGTTAGTCTCTAAGGTGCCATAAGTACTCCTTTTCTTTTTGAAAAATATGTGATCGTCATGGTGGATAATTGGCTGAACATGAGTTCCTTGTGCAACACTGTGGTCAAAGAGCTAATGTGATCCTTGAATGCAGAAACAGAAATCTTGGGTAGGAGCAGAGAGGTTATTTTACCTCTATATTTGGCACTGATGCAACCACTGGTGAAATACTGTGTCCATTTCTGGTGTCCACAATAGAAGAACAGTATTAAAAAATGGGAGAGCATTCTGAAAAAAGAGCCACAAGAATGATTAAAGGATTAGGAAACATGCCTTAGGTACACTCAAGGCGCTCAATCAATTTAGCTTAACAAAGAGTAGGTTAAGGGGTGGCTTGATTATAATCTGTAAGTACCTATATGGGGAACAAATATTTAAAATGGGCTCTTTAGCAGAGAAAGGTATAACAAGATCCAGTGACTGAAAGTTGAAGCTAGCCTGGAAATAAGGTGTAAATTTTAAATAGAATAATTAATCACTGGAACAATTTACCAAGGGTTGTGATGGATTCTCCATCACTGATATTTTTTAAATCAAGAATGGATGGATTTTTTAAAAGATACACTCTAGGAGCTTCCCCTCTAATTTTGGGGAAGTTCCATGGCCTGTGTGTTATATAGAAAGTCATATCAGATGATCACAAAGGTCCCTTCTGGCCTTGGAATCTATGCATATTCTCTCAACTGACAAATACCTGCCAAACTGTGAACATGTGAATAGTGTTTCTCTGTTTAAGGCCCTGATCCGACAAGCTAACCTCCAAGAGTGGATTTTTGAAAACTTAAGTCAATGGTGCTCCATTCAAAGTTTTGCATGCTTTCCTTAGTGTGTGGTATCAGACCCTAAAAGTTAAGTTGACAGAGCTAACAGTGCTTAGTGTGTGAAGAATTCACACTGCTGAGTGCTGTAGCTATGGCGACTTAAACCCCAGTGCAGAAGTAACTAGACTGTAGGAAGCATCTGCACTACAGTGACATAGCTACAGCACTTTCACTAGGTTGCCGTAGAGTAGACATGGCCTAAGTACATATCTATAGATCAAAGGAAACTTTCTGTAGTGTATGCAGGTGTTAAGTGTCTTCAGCTCCCACTGAAGCCATTGAGAAAGAGGTCACAATGCTCTGTAGGATCAGGTCCTATGCAATTTTCAAAACATCATTATTTTATTAAATTAAAACCAGTTTCTTTCAAACAATGTACTGAAGACTGCCCTTGCTAACTTTCAGACTTGAACCATTTTTGCTGTGACCCGTTGTAAAAGGAAATGGTGTTATTTAGAATTTAAGCTATAAATGAAACTTAAATTTAAATCTAGATCACGTTCCCTGGAGCCATTACAGTATTTAGTTTGAGGATAAAAGCACACTTTTCCAATGTTAAGAAAATCTAAACCACAAATCATTTAAGTATTTTATTTTGTTCAAAGAACTTGGAAGCTCTGTTGGAGAAGCCAGCAGAACTTATTAGTGCCAACAGTGTGTCTAGTGCTGCACAAGACACAGACGTCAACAGTCCCTGTCCCAAATTCATTACAAATAAGAAGGTGAAAATAAGACTTTAGACACACTGGAGACCCAGAAGTAGGATTTATAAGACATGCAAACTTATTATCTATATATTTAATTCATTTTTTTCCTCCTCTTTCCTTATTCAGTTATGGTCATACTTCTGTAAGCCCTAAGACCTCATTCCATAGTTACTGAAGTTTGTGGTTACTGAAGATTATGGTGGCCCATCTCTTCTTTACTAGTTAGTCTGTTCATAGAGGTAGTGATATGTATGTGTGTGTGTGTGCGTGCCACTCTGTTTATGAGTATGTGGCATTTTTAATGGTAAAAGAAAGTTTTTACACTTAATTACATAGTTTAATGTTAGTTTTACATATGATAAGGTTTGCTTCTTGTATGGAATTGCTTAATATTATAGGTGTTGCTGCTAATGCTTGCTATGCTCTATGAATGTTAGTGAATAGTTATCAATAAATACAGTGGACATAGCTACAAAGTTTAGACCTGGCAGGCACCATGGTCTAGAGAATGTTAATTGAGGCAAGTTTATGGTGGTGTGGGCCAGTGCCTTATCGCAGAGCCACTCAAACCTTTTCCAGTTGAAAATTTCATTGGCAACTTGCCAGGAAACTTAGGCCTTGCCTTGTCTACATAAAATAGTACAGCTTAATGCCATATGAAGAGAAAAAGTCCTGATAGGTAAAGTTCCTTTTTGATCTGGGCAGTGGATAAAAGAGCACTCCTCAGTAGACCACTCCACCATGTTTGTAATAGGAATGGCTGTATCAGTGGGCTACATTTGATCCTCCCTTGTTCAGCCAATTAGAATAGTTTGTTTAAGTCTTAAACAGAATCCTGTTACGCAAACAATGAATATAGACTTTGCTACTGAAACATTGTCACAAATACTATTTGTTTTTTTATCACAGATTACTATTGTTGCCCATATAACTGCCACCAAAATGCCAAATCTTCATCGACATGAAGAAGAGAAGTTCTTTATAAATGCTGAAGGGAAGAAGGAATCTATACCAAGCATACATGACCATCCTACAAAGGAGCTCTCTGTTGTCGTGCCTTCATACAATGAGGAAGACAGGTGTAAGAATACTTTCTTGTTTTCTTTTTAAAGAGTGAAACTTAGTTCTGCATTATCGGTGAATGTCAGCAACATAAAATTGCAGGCCAAATTCTGTAGCCGTTTTGCATACCCAGTTCCCAGGTCACAGTCAAGTAAATGGGAGTTCTGCACATAGAGCTACTATAGAATCTAGCCATGTGATTATTATTTTTTTTTTTTTTGCAACAGAAATTAAGCTACTTTCTGTAAGAACCCCGTGTCAGTAAAATCTTGTGAAATAAAGGTAGATGTTTCTGTAGGGATACTAGTTAATAATTCTTCTCCCCTGTGGGGGCACAGAATTTATATGGCCTGCATGTTTCTGTGCCCCCCCCGCACAGAAGAATGCAAAAAAAACCTGCGGAGGGACATGTACCTCTTCCCCAGCGGCCCAAGCAGTGTGTCTGTTCCAGCGTGCCTGGAGAGCCTCAGAGAGACACAAATCACTGTGGGGGAAGAGGGCTGGGTGTGCGTGCCTGTGGGGGAGGTGTTGATCACTGTCAGGGGGTGGGTCAGGGCTGGGGCGTGCATGCCTGCCAACAAGCAAGAGAGACTCTTGCTTGCTACTGCAGCTCGCCGGGCATGGAGGGATAGGGCTTTTATTTATGTACAAGGAAGGCTCTGTCCCCTAGACAGAAATGTAACAGCCTGCCTGCTAGTTAATTGATCTCATTCTCTGAGGCAGAAATGTAGCAGCCTGCCTAACTAACATTGTTTGTTAATTAACTGTTCCCATTCTCAGTCAATTCCCCCAGGAGCATAAAACCTGTAATAGTTTTAAGGCGCCTACATTGCCAGAGTGATGTAAAGCCTTATAAATGACAGTAAGAGAATCAGCTAGGAAGATTTAATGTGCTTTCTCACTCTTTTCCTGTGCCAAAGTGGCACAGTGGGGTTAGACTACAGCTCAGGATTTATTTTACTTACCAATTTAAAAAAAAAAAAAAAGACTTTAAGGGAAAATAAAACATTTACCAAGCAATCAATAAAATTCAGGACAATCAGAAGCAAGCACTTCCCAAGGTACCCAGCCAGGTCCAGGACAATGATTAGCAAAACTGTATGACTTTCGTGTGTGAAAGTCTGAGCAATTTAAAATGACATTCTACTTTTTTTTTTTTTTTTTCTGTTTGGTGTTCTGTAATGTAATTTAAATGAAAATCCAGGATTATAACTGGAATGCAGGGTATTAGTTATCAAGTGTTTGTAACTTAACTTTCATGTGTTTAGGAAATGCTGAGTAGTTATTGTGAAATGTTTCTGTATTATAATTTAAACAAATTACCAAAACAATAGAAACTGATCATATTGCATTCTTTTGACAAATAAAATATGCAGAATTTTGCAGAATTTTTAATTTGTTGGCCTAGAATCCCTCCAGAAGTAAACTAGGTTGCTTAAAGATTATAAAAGCCACTTTTAGCTGGTCTTTAGTGGCTCTTAAAGTCAGTGTGGAGGTTAGGAGTAAAAATGTATCTTTATGGTTTAATTGTTTTAGAATTTTGCACTCTGGAACCCATACCAGTGGCTTTAATCAGGCAGAAGGAAGAATGGTCTTGTTGTTTAGGAGATATGGGTTCTATTCCTGGCTTTGCCATGCACTTCCTTTGTGATCTTGGTCAAGTCATTTAACCTTAAAATGGAAAGGTGCTTTTGATGTGAAGGAGCTGGATGCTGTCTACTTACTGTTGGCACTTCAGACCATATTGACTTTTCTGTCTCTCTCTCTCTCTCTACAGAGAGAGCCACCTGGATGCCATGTATGTATGCCCTTGTCATTGAACAGATCAGCCACAAGAGCAGTAAGTGCTGTCTCAGGATATGCCTAAACTGCAGTGAAAAACCAGGGGCTGTCCCATGCCAGGCGACTTGGGCTGGGACTGCGGGGCTGTTTCATTGCAGTGTAGACTTCCTGGCTCGGTCTGGAGCCTGAGCTCTGGGACCCTTCCACCACTCGGGATCCTAGAACCCAGGCTTCGGCCCAAGCCCAGAAGTCTGTGCTTCGATGAAACAGCCCAGCAGCCAGAGACCTGTGAGCCTGAGTTGGCTGGTATGAGCCAGTCCTCAGTGTCTAGTTGCAGTGTAGACATACCCTCAGTCTCCTATCCTGGCCTGAAACCGTACTAAGAGTGCTCCAGGGTACTAGCCGCAGACAGGTAGTGCTCGTGCTGTGTTTTGCTGTCTTCGGTTAGCTCGCTTAGAAAAAAGGTTGGACAGCCTGTGATGGTTTGCAAGGCCGCTAGTGTAGCGTGGTGGTTTCATTAGTATGGGTTGGCTTGTTGCTTTTTTCAGGGTAGGTAATAGATTTCCCTCCTCAAAGGAAGTTTCACTACCCCCTGATACTGGGGAAGGGAGGAGAGTGTCCCAGATGTTCTGTACTCTTTCTCTGTCCGGGAAGGGCAGGGGTTGGAGTCACAGATGGTCACCCTGTTTGCAGAAATCAACACTTTTTTTGCTGAGGCAATTTGCTCTACCTATCTACCCAGTTGCTGTTGGCTGGCTCCGGCTGATAATTAGTGCTCCGCCTAATGCCTTGGCTAATTTGTTTTTTCCAGTCATATTTCTTTGCATAGATACCTTGTGCCTGTAATTTAATGTAACCATTTTATTAATAATTAAAAATGATCCCCAGTGTTAAGTACAAACCAGAATTTAAATCCTATAATACTAGTGGTTTTCACCTTTAGAAAGCAAGTCTTTATATTAACAGTAGCACCCAGAGGCTCCTGACAGGCCCCATAGTGGTAGGCTCCGTAAAAACTTATGAAGAAATGGTCTTTCCTCCCAAAAGACTTTACAGAACTGGAGCCTTATATTGTAAAGACTTAACATGAGTTTAACATTACACACTGTGAGTAGCCACAGTAACTCCGAAGTGCACAAGTCTTTGCAGCATCAGAACCTGTAAAAACAATTTACTGTCCAGGAAGAGGGAAACGGGCATACAGAATTACATAGCGCTAGAGACTGCATAGTGATTTTGGTGGTAGAGCTGGGAGTAAAATATAGTTAACTTAATTTTTAGTCCAGCTGGGATTAAATTTATAACTGTAATTTTGTTTTTTTGTTCCCCTATTTTCAAGTCAGTGGTATTTTTTTATCTCAAGACCTGACTACTTTGGGATGTGAAAATATTTTAAATATGCTTTTATTGATGCTTTGTTTAAACAAGCTTTTGTGATATTTTTTTCCTTCCAGTGCCTCTTATGATGGATGAAGCTTTAGACTATCTTGAAAAAAGACAGGTGTGAAACTTTCATTTTTGCATTTAAAATAATTTAAAATATAGTATCCTTGTAAGTATATGAAAACAAACTGCCTGTTTGGATTTTTGTGATCTGCCTAGAAGCAATATAAAATTATCCAATTAAAAGATAAGCTCTCTATCCTGGGAACATCTCTTCATGAGTTCTTTTCAGACTGTATGATAGAAGGCAATTTTTACTGAAATATAAAAATTAACTGTTGCACTTGGAAAAGACTTGTACCCACATGATACCTATCCGGGATAAACATATAGGGGAGTAAAAGTTAGCTGATGATATAATTTATCTATTCCCACAAGGTTTTTAAAATCCTGATTTTCTATCACTGTTATAGTTGGTCACCTGCACATGAGGCAACAAGTTTCAGAAAATATGGCATAGTTTGAACTCTTTCTGATCTTTAACGTAAGGGCTACTCAGAGCCTCCAAGTTAATTTTATAGCAATATTGATTTTCAACATTTTATAGTAGCTTAAAAATAAATAAGGCTACCTAAAATAGTGCCGTTAGCATGTAATCTGGCAGCATTAGAATAACATATTGGTAGCAGACTGATACTGCTTTAAGGATGTTTATCATCATAGCAAATTTACAAAATGATATTGGTGCGTCTGTATAAATGTATATTATGGCATGAATGAGGAGGAAAACTCCAGGGGCAACAAAGCATTCCGGTGGCTGAAATTTTGCCCATTTGAGTAAGGGAGTGAGAGGTGTGTATGTGTGAAAGAGACAGAGATTGGACCAAATGCACAATTTCCATTTTTATTTTTAAGAAACGAGATCCTACGTTCACTTATGAAGTAATAGTTGTTGATGATGGCAGTAAAGATCAGACCACAAAGGTAAGAAGAGAATATTAAAGTTTCTCACCTGGCAGTCTAAGGGAGCAGATGTGTATCACACTGTTTTAGCTTTTACAAAATGTACCAAACCTTTACCTTTTGTTCTACACATCTGCTGCTCATTGTTTTTAATTATTTATTTCTCAGATTCCTTCTGCCATTCTTCTCCCTGCCATTCATAGGATGATATTCTTATAGCACAGTTATCTTTTGAACAGATATAGTAACTTCCTGAATTTCTTTCCCCAGTTCCCTCTGTTCATCCAGTGTGTCTCCTTTCACACAGTCTCACCTCAAGAGCATTCTCCGGTGTGATTTCTGTTATCTGAAACAGCATCAGTGTGTGTCTGTTTCTTCAGATCTCCCCTTCTCTTTCCAGATCTCATCTGAGACCATAATTCTTTCCCATCTAAGCCTCTGAATCTCCCACAATTTTAAATGTCACTTTATTATTCTGTAAAGTATTTTGACATAGTTTGTATAGAATTTGTTATACAGCATAAAGTTGTGTATTCGTTTAGAAACATTAATACTGAAGTATTAAGGGTAGGATTTTCAAAAATGTTCTGCTTTCCTCTACTTCTGCTTCTGTTGAAGTTAATGGGAGTTTTACCGTTGACTTCAGTGGGAGCAGAGTCAGGCCAGCTCTAAGCAACTTCTGAAAATACCACACTAGATTTATGTTTAGGTTAGTCACTAGCATGCATGCTTCTGTTTCAGTTTTTCCTTCAAGCTTGCCTGGTAAGGTTATGTGTCCTTTCGTGCATGTTTGTTCAGTAGCTTACTAACCTGTTTACTACTGCCAGTGTCAATGATGGATGAATCATATCTCTTATGCAGTACAGTAACTCCTTGCTTAAAGTCGTCCCGGTTAACATTGTTTCGTTGTTACATTGCTGATCAATTAGAGAACATGCTCGTTTAAAGTTGTGCAATGCTCCCTTATAACGTTGTTTGGCAGCCGCCTGCTTTGTCCGCTGCTTGCAGGAAGAGCAGCCCGTTGGAGCGAGCTGGTGGGGGCTTGGAACCAGTGTGGACCAGCAGCCCCCCATCAGCTCCCCGTTCCCCTAAATTCCCTGTGCGACAGCCACCCAACAGGCTATCAATTGCTGGCAGTTCAGCTGTCCCTCCCCTCACTGCCCTGTGCTGCTCCTGCCCTCTGCCTTCGAGCTGCTCCCTGGAGCCTCCTGCTTGCTGTGCAGGGGGGAAGAAGGGGGCTAATGTCAGGGTGTCTCCCTCCCCCCTGCTCCTGCAGCCCGCTTACCCCATCTTCCATAGAGCAGGGGGGACACACGACTGGGCTCAGGACGGAGGGAGCTTCCTGGCAGCAGCTGCTATCTCAGCTTGCTGATTAACTTTAAAAGGCAATGTACTTGGAATGGGGTCAGCGTACTTAAAGGAGCAATGCTCATCTCTCTCTCTCTCTCACACACACACACAGGGTGTGTCTCTCTGTCTGCCATGCTGTCTCCTCTCCCTCCATTCGTGCTGCCTTGTAGAGTGTGACGCTACATTAACAACGAGTTAACCCTCGAGGGCTCAGCCAATTTCTAGTTCATCACTTAGCAGTAAGGCATTCCCTGGGAAATATCCCACCCTCTGACTTCACCACCTCAACCAAGCTTCACAATCATCATCGCTGTGTACCAGTATTAAATTGTTTGTTTAAAACTTTGTGTGTGTGTGTGTATAGAAAAAAATGTCCCTGGAACCTAACCCCCCCCCTCCATTTACATTAATTCTTATGGGGAAATTGGATTCGCTTAACATCATTTCGCTTAAAGTCGCATTTTTCAGGAACATAACTACAATGTTAAGCGAGGAGTTACTGTATTGTATAAAGATTGAAAAGCCCTCAAAGTAGTAGCCATTGTCTGTCTTATACAGTGATGAACACATCTCAGCCTTCTAAGACATAGGTGTTCTCCACTCTCATGCCCAACTACTCGAACATTGAAATTGCTTTAAGCTGATGCTCAACTTTATTAAATATTTGTGATACTGTAGTCTCTTAGGGCCTCGTTATGCTAGAAGAAAAATATGATGAAAAGCACTATATAAGAGCAATTCATGTCTCAAAGCACTTGTAGTTTTAATTTAAAAGCAGACATAGCAGTGAAACAAATGGGAACCAGGTAATAGTAATGAAAGCATGTTTTTCATAGACTAGTTTTGTGCACTGGTATAAATACGTGTTGTATGGTTTTTTAGCTTTAACTTTGGCGGGTGGGGTGAAGGGGCTTAGGACAGCCATAGCTAATCTCTCTGACCACTACCTGGTTTTATTCGTCTTGCTTCTTCAGTTTTGTGGCTATTCATGTTCTTACTCTTTTTATTTTCCTAAACAGACTTCAATTCTGCACTGGACAATATATTTCCATTTTATGCAGATTGAAGTGGTAACAATGCTATTGAAGAAAAAGGGATGGAAGAATAAGATCTCTATCTTTCATTTGAGGTTCCAGTTTTGTTTTATTCTGACTTTCATATGTCTTACAGGTTGCAATGAAGTACTGCAAGAAATATGGAAGTGACAAAGTACGAGTCCTAACATTGGTAAAAAATCGGGGGAAAGGTGGAGCTGTCAAAATGGTAATGAACACTTTCAGTTCTTTCTCTGTTTTGAACTAATTCTAGTCTTGCCAAAATAAGCAGACCTTGTGTGGATTTAATTTAATTTAAAGACTTTAGATTAATAAAACTGTTTTGAAAAATATTGAATACTTCCATAAATCTTCAAGGCAAAAATGTACAAAATATAAACTCATTGCAAGGATTTGATAACACATTGAGTAATAACACTGAAGAATTTTTTTGTATGAGAATTTAAATTAAAGCCAAATTACATCCATTAGTTAATTTAGAAATAGCTCTTCAGTGCAAACAAAACAAAACAAAAAACGTGTTATAAGATGAAAAGCAAGCTCTGGTAATAAGATAAGTAAATACAAACATTCCTCTCCAGATAGCTTTGATATTTGAATTGAATGAGGAACTAAGGCCCAGGTCCTGCAAAGTTTTGCTTAAATGTGTGTAGTCCCACTAAAGTTAGCTAGGCTTGATTTTGATGAGGCATAATGTGTGTAATTCGTATATTAACTTACAAATAGATATTTCTCTTCACAAGAGAAAATATATTAGCGTGTGTGATTATGTAATTGTTTAGAGTGAGTGAATGATACTTCATTGCACTTCATTTTTTTGACTTAAAAGGACTGCGTCAGTCTTGGGTTGTGAACCATGAATTTGGATAATAGGTGACTATAAAGAGTAAAAATAAAACTTTTCTCTCATGTTGTCAGTACGCTTCATTTATTATTTCTGGAGTCTTTCTTCATGCATTTATTTTTTTCAAAGATTATGCTAAAGCTACATCTATAACTTGTCTGTCTGTCTTAAGGTTTTTATATGGTGAACGTAAGAATGGCCATAGTGGGTCAGACCAATGGTCCATCTAGCCCAGTATCCTGTCTTCCAACAGTGGCCAATGCCAGGTGCTTCAGAGGAATGAACAGAACAGCAATCATCGAGAGATCCATCCCCTGTCATTTACTCCCAGCTTCTGGCAGTTAGAGGCTAGGGACACTCAGAGCATGGGGTTGCATCCCTGACCATTCTGGCTAATAGCCATTGATGGACTTATCCTCTGTGAACTTATCTAGTTTTGTTTTGTTTTAACCCTGGTATAGTTTTAGCCTTCACAACATTCTCTGGCAACGAATTCTACAGGTTGACTGTGTGTTGTGTGCAGAAGTACTTCCTTTTGTTTGTTTTATACTTGCTGCCTATTAATTTCATTGGGTTACCCCTAGTTCTTGTGTTACGTGAAGGAGTAAATAACATTTCCTTATTCACTATCTCCACACCAGTGGTTTTCAACCAGGGGTATGCAGAGGTCTTCCGCGGGTATGTCAACTCATCTAGATCTGTTTCTCGGGTTGGGGGGGGGGGGTCACAAGTAGAGGGCAGGCATTATGGAGGGGCAAGCAGGGCAATTGCCTGGGGTCCCACACCACAGGGTGCCCCACAAAGCCAAGTTATATGCTTCAGCCCTGGGTAAGTGGTGGGCGGGGCTCCTGAAAGGGTTACAGAAGTCTGGAAAGGTTGAGCATCACTGCTCCACACCAGTCAAGATTTTATAGACCTCTGTCATATCCCCTCTTACTCATCTATTTTCCAAGCTGAAAAGTCAGTGTCTTTCATCTCTCCTCATATAGAAGCTGTTTCCATACCCCAATCATTTTTGTTGCCTTTCTCTGTACCTTTTTCCAATTCTAATATATTTTTTTTGAGATGGGGTGACCAGATCTGCATGCAATATTCAAGATGTGGGCATACCATGGATTTATATAGAGGCATTATGATATATAAATCCATGGTGCCTATGATTATAGTATTTAGGCAGTATATGGAATGAAAAAGCACAAATGTTCTTTTTTTTTTTTTCCTTCTTCTCAATTCTTCCAGGTGAAGGAGCATGACTTTGTGTGGGATATTTTAATGATGAAGTGCATGGAATGTTCTCATTCACTAGTGCCTCTGCCCACTTGCTTGAGAGAAAGAGAGTTTATTCTTTGTGTAGCACATATGTGAGGTGTGTTTGTACTGCTGAATGTAGCAGGCAGGAAGAGCGTGAACGCTGCATGACCACCAGAGAATATACTCTCATCAACATTGTACTTTCCATCAGCATTGAGGAAGAAAGATGATTATGCTTTACACTTTGCATAGATGATAGAACTGCAGCCGTGCTTTTAATTGGTTTTAGTATGTAGCTGTTGGTTTGAAACTCTTAGAAATTAATTAAAAGGTCAGTAAATCCAGGAAATCTCTGCTCTTATATTTAAAAAAAAAAGAACTTAAACCCTCTGTTTAATTTTACTTGAAATGGAAGATTCCATGTTTCTTTCTGAGTTCGAGTGAATAACCTCTTGGGTAGGACAGTGAGGGGATATTCTGGATGTATCTTCAAGAGCCTGCAACACACTTTGCACAGAGTTAAGCATGTATGGTGGCAACAAGCACAAATGCCCTTGTGCATCTGCACGTGTGTCATGTAGCACCTAGAATATGATGTAGCCAAGCTCCAGGTCTGCTGCAGTTGTTGCCCCAAGCTAACTGCAGTTATGTTGTTCTTTATCTTTCTCAGATACATTTTAGAGATTTAGCTCTTGAAGATGTATTAAGAGGTAGCATCCCACACCCTATCCCAATGCTGCAAGCCTTGTCCAAGGAACATGGATCAAGTGACAAGGAAAAACTGTACAGTGATTAGGCAGCTGATGTGCTTTGACGCTATGTATCATGCTGGCCAGTATTGCCTCCTTGTTTCCTTCTGCTCCCCTCATCTGTTTGTTGTATCCACTTGTCTCTTGTCTTACATACTTTGATTGTAAGCTCTGAGAGTCAGGAACCGTCATTTTGTTACTTGTACAGTATATAACACAATGGGGCCCTGATCAGTGATTGAGGCACCTGGGCATTGCTGTAATACAAATTAATAACCTTGAACACTTGTTTTTTATCAACAAAATGTCAACATAGGAAATTGCAGATTCACCTGTTTGTTTAGTTTAATTCCTTTCTAGATTTCTATTCAGGTTAACGTTTTAGGGATTTGCTTTCTTAATTTAGACTCCTGGGGCCTGGAAGCTAGTTTATCGTGATGAAAATTATTTGTATTTGTGCAAGTTTTAATTTGCTGTCTCCTCTGCAGGGTGTCTTTAGCTCTCGAGGGGAAAAAATCCTTATGGCTGATGCAGATGGAGCCACGAAGTTTGCAGATATTGAAAAAGTTGAAGAGGGTCTTAGAAATCTCCAGCCATGGCCAGTAAGTATGAGCTTCTGTCATTTTAGCTGATCAGTTTGTCTATGGACTCATAGTTATATTTCTCTTTATTAACAAGTTTCTTGCATACATATTGAGAGTATGAATTCTAGGTCCCAATCTTATAAATCTTTAAGATATGCTTACCTTTAACTTGACATAAGTGGGGCTACTTATAGTGCATCAAGTTAAGCATGTGCATATTTTTTTGCAGGATCAGGTGCCTTAATTTGCACATTTTGACACTTGTGCTATCTCTTGCATTGAGTCTTTAAACAGGGGTCAGCAACCTCTGGCACGCGTGCCAATTTTTAATGCCACACTGCTGCCTGCCGAGTCCCAGCCGCCAGCCCCGCTCAGCCTGCTGCCGAACCCAGGCCGGCAGCAGGCTGAGTGGGTCTGCGGGCCAGGACTCCGGCAGGCAGCAGCGTGCCATTAAAAATCCTGCCCGCCCCGGCCCACTCTTCTCCCACCCCACCCCCTGCGTGGGGGCAGGGTGAAGAAGCTTGGTCCTGCCGGCTGCTGCTGCAGGGCAGGCAAGGCCCCCCCTCTTTTCTGCCAGCATGCTGGGTTCCTGCCCCTCCTCCTCTCCCTCCCTGCCGCCAATCAGCTGATGGCCCTGGCCCTTGCGAGGGAGGGGGAGAAGCAGAGCTGCAGCGTGCTCACTGCTCCGGGGAGGAGGAGGAGAAGAGGTGGGGATGGGGCCTTGGGGAAGGGGGGTGGAATCAGGGCATATCCCCTCCAGCCCCCTGCTGTGAGCCGCTCTGGGCAGGGGGCTGGGAGCACCCCCACGACCCTAGACCTCTGCCCTGACCCCTGCGCTCCTCACACACCCCAGCCTCCTGCCCTGACCTCTGCAGCTCCCCACACAACCCCAGCCCTGACTCCAGTGCCCCTCCCACCCCATGCCCTGACTCCTGCACCCTCCTCAAACATCCACAGCCCCATGCCCTTACTCTTGCACCCCCCACATTCCCACCCTCATCCTGAGCACCAAACAGGAGCTCCTGCGCACGCGCACACACACACACACATTCCCACCTGCACCACTCGCACCAAATGGGAGCTGCCCAGGTAAGCACTCCACACCCAAACCTCCTGTCCCAACCCTGAGCCCCCTCCCTCATTCTAGCTCCTGGCCAGACCCTGCACCCCAACTCCCAGCCTGATCCTTCACCCCCAGCCCTGTGCTCAGTGCACTCCCACCCTCAGCTCAGTGCAGAGAGAGAGGAATAGAATGGGCAAGAACCAGAGAGATGGTAGATACTCACTCCATGTGGGCAGGGCCAGGATCCCAGACTGGCAGCTGGCTGAGCGGGGCCGGCAGCCAGGATCCTGGCTGGCAGGAGCTGGCGGACGGAACCCCTAAGTGGCAGTGGGCTGAGCTGCTCAGCCCAATGCCGGTCTGGGGTCTCAGCCACCAGTCCCACTCAGCCCACTGCTGGTCTGGGGTTCTGGCTGCCGGCCCCTTGCCAGCCGGGGTCCCGGCCGTAGGCCCCACTCAGTCTGCTGCTGGCCTAGGTGAACGGAACCCCAGGCTGGCAGCGGGCTGAGCGGGCTGGTGGCATAATGTCAGCATTTTAATTTAATTTTAAATGAAGATTCTTAAACATTTTGAAAACCTTGTTTACTTTACATACGACATAGTTTAGTTATATAATATAATAGACTTATAGAGAGACCTTCTAAAAAATGTTAAAATGTATTAATGGCACGTGAAACCTTAAATTAAAGTGAATAAATGAAGACTTGGCACTCCACTTCTGAAAGGTTGCCGACCCCTGGTTTAAACTTTTGTGGGATCTATGTGTTTTGCGTTGCTAGCCCTTTTTTCTTTCCAGTATCACAGCTCACTGTGCTGCCTACTTATTTAAAAATTTGCTTTCTCTACCCTTATTAATTTGATATGTTGTTTAACCTAATTTCCTCCTACGTTATTTTGAGAATGACTATTTTATTCTAATTGGTCTGTTTCCTGTTAGCGGATGGCTAACTTTTAATTTGCAAGTATCAGTTCATTCAGATTGTGTCCTCTATGAAGACCAAATAATGGTTTTTATCTGGAAAAAAAAACTATTTTGGAGGTCGTGTCAGATCACAATGTATTCCTGAATAGGGTAACAGTGGCACTTAGATCTGCTTGACTTTAAGAAACCTATTTTCAGTTAACATGGTGCTTAAAGACAAGTTGATGTGGAACCTGTAACTAAAATGGAGGGAGCAATATGTAACTTCTATACTTAGCTTTTTTTCCTCCCCCATTTCTACCCCGTTGGTATTCTTATGAAGCAGTCACTGAATTATGTTTAAAATAACCATTTGGTCAAAGAGATAAAGTTCCGACCCCACTAGATGGCGCTAATTGATTAACATACCTTTTAAATCTGTGTGCTATTGAAAAGGCAGCAGGCCTTAGTTCTTCAGAGTTTTCCTAAAGTCCAGAAATGATTCTTTCATGTCAAAAGTAGTAATGTGAGTGTAATTTTAATGCAGGCCATAGGAAGTGCCTCTTACAGTTTAATGGGGGGAGAGAGATGACATTCCTAAACAAGTAAAATATTACAATATCAGCAAAATCAAGTCTTCTGTTCCCTATTGCAAATCTTAGGCTAAACATGCCCATACATATTAAGTGTACCTAGATACTTTGTTATCTGCACTGTGAAATAAATTCTCTGTCTGAAAAGCTCAGAGACATTCTTACTCCCGAATGAGACCTGAATAAAATGCAGCAATCTGAACCTGTCATATACAAAATGTAATAAGCTTTCTACAATCCATAAAATGCAGAAAGGCTTTATTATATCTACACATTCAAACAATAAGATTTGTATAACTTGTCAAAAGCAGAAATTTCTATTTCTTTGACAAATTCAGTGGACAAGATTAGTCCATCATAATGCTTTAAGGTTTCACATAAAAACATGAATAGAAGAAGCCAGTGAATCAGAAAACACTAGTGGTGTTGTAGTTAGCTTCCAATTCTTGTGTGTGTGTTCCTCTGCAGGACCAGATGGCTATTGCCTGTGGTTCTCGAGCCCATTTGGAGCAGGACTCAATAACACAGGTAAGTGTCTCTTTCCTCGTATAAACTAGTCTCCTTGAACTGCTGTTTTTTTCATTAACATTCCAGTTTTTAAATTAAATCAAGACACACAAAATGAATGGAGGCTGATAGTGGGGAAGGCTGTTGCCATAAGCCTAGCAATAGTCCAACATTACTAAAAGCTCTCTGTTCCCAGAGTTCAGACACCACCAGCAGGAAGCGTGAGCTAGATTTCAGATAACAAGGATTTAAATCAGTTGCTCTAGCAGAGGATGGGACTTTTGGTCCCAAACGCAACCGACAGCATGTGTGCGCAAGTTTGTCCAACATGAAACCAAAAAGGGCATCTACTGTAATCATTGTGTAGAGAGCTTTTGGCAGATGCTTTGGAAGCTCTGGGTTCTACAGTGGCTTTGCAGCTCATGGGCCGGAACAGTCTCTTCACACACATGTGCAGGCTGACAGCTTGACTTTACTTTCAGTCCAACAATTTGTCACTCTTCAACTCTTAAAACCTGAGAGTGGTAAAAGTTTTGTTGTAATGTTTTGTTGTACGTACTAATAAAATGTTTGAAAGGGTATCACAGTTCTCTTGCAATCAACATTTTGAAAATTCATTTCATGTTAATGATTGAAGGGGAAGATCTCACCGCCACCCAGACTTGCCCCAGCAAGTGTAGATTTGGAATTCAGAACTTCCAGCAAACTCAGCTAATTTCGAAAACTTGCATTTCTTTTCCCTCCTTTAATTGAGAATCACTTGCAATGCACGTTCCTTCCTAAAGCTCCTTGCGATAGTTATGCCCTGGAAGACTCTCAGATTAAAATTGGAGAGGCCAAGACTGCCTCATGGATCTCATGCTTGCACGTTTCCAAAATTGCTACAAATGACAAGTGAATGTTGCTTCTTCTGGTGGAGTATGCATACTGAGGAAATGAGCATTGTGTTTAGTCTTGAATGAGTTCCAGGCAAAGAGCCTCTGAAAAGATCCTTGAGAGAAGACTACTAGGTTTGTTTTGTGGAAATATCGGTAACCCGTATGAAAGCAGAATTTCAATATGAACAGGAAAATGGCAGGAAAATAAAGTATTGAATACACACTGGACAGAACAACTTAGTATGTGATTGTTATGCAACAAACTTGCATCAGCACACAATCTCATCTTACATCTGTTTTACTGATGTTTTGGCAGACAGTAGTTGACATAGCACAGACATTGCACTTATATTGCAACAAACACATTGCTGGACTAATTTCTGTAACATCATTAGATGAACTCCTAGTGCTGGATTTTCTCTAGAACAAGTTATGTTTACACTAGCGCAGGGGTCTCAAACACGCGGCCCGTGGGGTTATTTTCTGCGGCCCGCCAGCTCCCCGCCCTGCCCCCAGCGTTTACTTAGAGCAGTTCCGGCCCTGTGCGCACTAGGGGCAGGGCAGGCTCCCTGCTTGCCCGCCCTGCCCCCGCGCTGCTCCGGGAAGTGGCTGGAACCTGGGGTGGGGGGCAGGGGCACAAGGATCTGTGTGTTGCCCTGGCTGCTCCTCCAGGTACCTCCCCCGAAGCTCCCATTGGCCGGGAACGGGAAACCGCAGCCAATGGGAGCTTCAGGGGAGGTACCTAGAGGAGCAGCCACGCCCCTCCCTCAGTGTCCCCCGCCCCCCAAGGTTCCAGCCACTTCCTGGAGTGGCGCGGGGGTAGGGCAGGCAGGGAGCCTCATATTCAGTGTGCGATGGGCCGGACCTGCCCCCCAAACCCTTCCTGCAGCTGACCCCCCTGCCCTGAGCCCCCTGCTGCACCCTGCACCCCGACCCCCTGCCCTGAGCCCCCTGCTGCACCCGCACCCCTCTTGCACCCCGAATGGGGGCAGGGAAGGGGTGGGAAGAGGCGGGGCAGGGGCGGGGCCTCATGGAAGGGGTAGAGTGGGGACGGGGACGGGGCAGCGGGTGGAGGGGGTTGTCAGTGGTGCAGCCCTCTGGCCAATGTACTAGTCCTCATGTGGCCCTCGTGGTCATTTGAGTTTGAGACCCCTACCCTAGCGTGTGATAGTTAAAATCATTCTAAAATGTATACAAAATACTGAAATAGCTGCAAAAGTCCAGGAGGAGATAGCAGGGAGTTCAAATCCTGGTATGTATTCTACTTTTCCCCAGTGCTTAATTTGTAATGAAAGAGCTGCCAGGGCTCAAGCAATTTTTTTACATTCATAACTCGTGCAGCAAGCCCAAAGGTGTCAGGGCTTTGAACTGCCAAACCTAGAGGTGCTGGGGACTCCGCCCTGGCACAAATTAAGCACTGCTTTTCCCTCTGGATTATCTAATAATGTTAGGGATCTATTCTCCTATCAATGCATGGGTAAAGTTCCTGTAAGCGTTAGGGAGTAGAAAGTTTGCATCATAGTTAAGAAGAAACCCCAAAGCTCTCTCAGTAATGGGACTAAATCCTGGACCCTGTGTTCACAACATGAATGGGTACAGAAGACAGTTACTGTCTAGATATGCTGGCTGTGCACCAGACCAACTAATCCTGGGGATGGTTGGGCCTGATGCATCTAAAGCAGTGGTTCCCAAACTGTGGAGCATGGGGGAGGGGGGAGGGGGAGGGAGAGGATACCACCCAGACCCACTCCACCCCCAGCTCTGCCCTGCCCTGCCCGGCCCCCAGCTGTGGCCCTAGTTCCTGGGTGCGGTGCCGCACCCGGCCATGGCCCTAGCTGCTGGCTTCTGCCACAGCTCCACTCCCAGCCTGGCCCTAGCCCTGCCCCCAGCCTCAGTCCCTGGCCACAGCTCCGCTCCCGGCCCCAGACCTGCCTGCAGCTGCGGCCCCGCATCGACCCCCTCTCCCCCTTATTCGTATCTGCACCCCAGAGCCACAGCCCCGCTCCCAGCCCCGGCTCTCGGGAGGTTGGGGATGCAGACAGAGCAAGGGGAGAGGGGTGATGTGAAAAATTGGAGGACCGCTGATATAGAGAGTGGAGGGGCTCTCTGATTCTGTGGTCATGTGATAAGCTGCTGAGGGATCATATACAAATGAACTCCCTTCAAGTGCATCCAGCTCCCTCTTTCCCTCACAAGATTTCTGCCAGGAGATAGGGGAGAAGAACTGGAATGGGCCTTTCTAAGGGAAAATTTGCAGGTGGGTGTACCTTTCCTTCCCCTACATCTCTGTTAGTGTGGTGATGAAATCTTCAGCTGATCAGGCTCTCCTCCTCCCCTCATCTGTCAGCTCTTTGAATCATGCAGCCCATTCGCTCTCCCTCGGTGTCACTTAGCTAGCAATGATGCTGCCTTTTCCGCAGTAGCATTGGGAAGACACTGCTGCCAAGTGTCCCTGCTTCCATATATGGCAGTCGGAGATAGAATCACAGGAGGAATGGGATGAGCAGCCTCTGGGGAATCCTCTCTGGATTCAGAGACAACAAGAGCTGTGGAACCAGGCTTCACCATGCAGCTGGGACGGTCTGTGGTTAGGACCACGATTTGGTCTTTGTGGTTAAGAATTGCTAATAAACAAAAGTTCCGCTAAAGCAAAATGGGAGAAAAATCTACTGGAAACATTAGAGTATTTGCATAAACTAAATTACAAGATCAGTCAATACTGACAATTGTTGGCTTCTTCTATATTAGATGTTTGTTATATATCATTCATGACTGGCTACATAGGAGAACTGTTGCTCAGTCCACCATATATGCAGTGTACATAGGCATACATCTTCCTGTAACTTGCATTGCTTTATGTATCCTTAAAGCAGTACTAGCTTATGCTGAACTGATCTTGAATGAAAGAAATCCAGCAATGAGCAAATAAAAGGATACTGTTTAGGTGGGGGGAGGGATTATTGTTCTTTTAAGGCCTGACATAAAGCTACTTTTAATTTGCATATTAAAATAGTGGTTGGGATCTTTTTTACACCTTAAGTAAACTTGTTTACATTTTTAAAATCTAGGCTTACAAACACTTTTAAAATTGGTTTTGGATGTTCAAAACAAAAATCATAATGTGAGTACAACATTATGTCCTAGTATGTCTATGTAGTTCTACTTATATGATCTATACCAAGTTCTGTATGTGTATTTGTTTAAATTTGAGTCATGGAAACAAAACTTTAAAATACATAGTTGCAATAAGAATCCCATTCTGTACTGTAACATACACCATTATTGTAAAGTTACATTTGGAGCCTAAAATGATTCAGATGTAGACCTGGCTGAAATACTTTTGCCTAAATGAAATTTCAGCAAAATATGATGTCTCTGCAAAATGTTTCAGCTTTTATGAAACATCTGTTTCCACAAAACTTTTGTTTTGGGGTGGCGGAGGAGGGAGACCCTACAGATGGGTGTTTAGGGTATTGGCCTGGGATTTGGGACACCCAGATTCAAGTCCTTGCTCTGCCTGATTTGGCGTGATCTGGGATGAAAAACTGTTCTGAATCAGGCAGAGCATGGACTTAGAGCTGGGTCTCCCACATCCCAGGGGAGATCCTAGGTGTGACTGTCTGACACACCTCTCCTCCACCACAATTTTGTTTTTGTTCCTAGGTGGAACAAACACTCATTTCTAACCTCAAAATTGTCATGAAGTGGAATTTTCATCCTCTGTTCAGATCAGTTCAGATGTTTCTTTTGTCATATAAAAAAAATTCTAATTTCTTGGCTTTTGTTCACAGCGCTCTTACTTCCGAACTCTTCTCATGTATGGGTTCCACTTCCTAGTATGGTTCCTCTGTGTCAAGGAAATTAGGGACACACAATGTGGGTTTAAACTGTTAACCAGAGAAGCGGCCTCCCGGACTTTCTCAGCTCTTCATATAGAACGCTGGTAAGTTCTTTCGTTTAGCTTCAATTAATTTTTCTGTTTTTAATTTTTATAGCAGTTGGTTGAGGTTGTGAAAATGTAATTCCCATATGGAAACTGCAATAAACAATTTGTGCATGTATAAAAACAGCTGTTCAATCCATTTTAATCAGTTTTAGTACTTGTTTTTTGTATTGCACTTCACATTTCTTATTGTTTTAAACTATTACATGTTTGCAAAGCAATGAATTTTATATTAAGAACTACATTATAGGATATAGTTGGATATTTGGATGTATTTCTGTTAACTCCATTACCCTTCAAAGAAATGTAGGACTGGAAGGGATCTCAAGAAATTGTCAAGTCCAGCCCATGTGCTGAGGTAGGACCAAGTAAATCTGGACCCTCCCTGACAGGTGTTCCTCTAACCAGTTCTTAAAAACCTTCAATGATTGGGGATTCCACAGCCTTCCTTGGAAGCCTATTCCAGAGCTTAATTACCCCTATAGCTAGAAAAAAAATTCCAAATATCTAACCTTACTCTCCCTTGCTTGAAATTAAGCCCATTACTTCTTGTCCTACCTTCAGGGGACATGGAGAACAGCTGACCACAGTCCTCTTTATAACAGCCCCTCAACATATTTGAGGACTGTTATCAGGTCCCACCTGAGTCTCCTTTTCTCAAAATTAAACATGCCCAGTTTTTTCTCATAGATCAGGTTTTCTAAACCTTTTATCAGTTTTGTTGTTCTCTGAACTCTCACCAATTTGTCCACATCTTTCCTAAAGTGTGGCACCCAGAATTGGACACGCTACTCCAGCTGAGGCTTCACCAGCACAGAGTAGAGAGGGACAATTTCCTCCCCTGTCTTACATATGTTACTCCTATTAATACTCTCCAGAATGATATTAGCCTTTTTCCCAGCTGCATCACATTGACTCATACTCAATCTGTGATCCACAATAACCCCCATATCCTTTTCAGTGGTACTACGCCCTACTCGTGTTTCCCATTTTGTGATTATGAGTTTAATTTTTCCTTCCTAAATCTAGTACTTTGCACTCATTTTTATTGAATTTTATCCTGTGGATTTCAAACCAATTCTCCAATTTGTCACGGTCATTTTGACTTCTAATCCTGTACTTGTAAGTACTTACAACCCCTCCCAGCATGGTGTCATCTGCATATTTTAAAAGCACACTCTCCATTCCATTAGCAAAGTCATTAATAAAAGTATTGAATAATATTTGACCCAGGACTGACCACTGTGGGTCCCCAGTAGAGACCCCTTTCCAGTCTAAAAGCAAACCATTGATAACTACTCTGAGCACAGTCTTTCACCCAATTGTGCGCCCACCTTATATTTTCATTTAGACCACATTTCCCTGGTTTGCTTATGAGAATGTCACAGAGGACTGTGTCAAACCCCTTACTAAAATCAAGATACATCATATTCACCCCCCCTACCCCCACTAGGGCAGTAACCCTGACAAAGAAGGAAATTAGATTGTTTTGGCATGATTTGTTGTTGACAGATCCATGCAGTCAATTCCTTATAACTTTATTATCCTGTGGTGCTTACAAATTGTTCGTCTTGTGTCCAAAATGCATGTAGAAAACACAGTTTTATTTAATTTAGCATCTTTCACGTAAACCGTACCCCAAAATCGGTTGAATAATGCAGTGATGCAGAATTTCTCTTCCTCAATACTTGAGGCATACAGTATGCAAGAGGGGAGAGATGTGTTAGCTAAATTTTAATATTTATACGGTGTCTGCGATAAAGATACAAGAAGGCTCTTGGGCTACACTGATGAGACTCTCGATGGATGGTGATGTCTGGAACCCTGCAGTCTATCCTTACTCTGGCATGTGATATGATGAGAGATATCTGATAGTTAGAAACTTCATCATCCTGTGTTGCTCTCTAGTACAATTTTACAACTCCTTACTCGTCAGCCAACCCTCCCTCAAATCATTACCTAATGAGTACCTGAAAAGTACACCACCAAGTGTCATTAGAAGAAGCCTAATATGTAAAGGAAGTTTCTGATGTACTCTGTCCATGCTGTTCTGTTTCATAAAAGTGGGCAGTAAAATGGCTCTCATTAGTCTGAAGAAGGGCAGTAAAAACCATTAATACAATTTGAATTGTTTTAGAGCTGTCTTTCGTTGTAACTTAGCATTGGAGAGGGTGATGGAATGTCCATTATTAGAGTAGCTTTGTGAGGACAGCTATGATGGGTATGTCTACACTCTGATAAAACACCCACGACTGGCATGTGTTAGCAGGCTGAGGCTCGCAGAGCTCAGGCTGCGGGGCTAGAAAATTGCAGTGTAGACATTCGGGCTCAGGCTGGAGCCCAGGCCCTGAGGTCATGTGATGCGGGAGGGTCCCAGAGCCAAGGCTCCTGCCCAAGCCCGAACATCTACGCTGCAATTTTATAGCCTCGCAGCCCAAGCCCTGCAAGCCTGAGTCAGCTGACATGGGCCAGCTGCAAGTATTTTATTGCAGTGTAGACATGCTCATGAGACTGAAATGCTGTTTCCGCAGTAAGTGTCATAGTTTCTGTAGACTTTTTGCACCACCTCTCTTGCTAAATGGACATGGTCATGGTTGACAGGCCCAGGTTTCAGTATAATCTAGTCTTTTCAAACTGTCTTCATCTAGGAAAACCTCTCGTAGAAAGAAATTTTTTGTGTCTCATTAACCTGCCTGCTCACAAGAATAGAGTACAACATCCATGCGCGTGCTGAGAACTTTTGTCCAATCGAGCTAATCAAAAGCCTGTAAGTTTTTAGTTTTAGGTTGATCTTCAGCAGTTGTTGCCAAGCCATGTTGCTTCTAGGATGGAGATACAAAAATGGCTGGGGTAGGTGGGGTGCTTCAGAGATCAGGGACGTGAAAAATCTGACATTGAGTTAGAGGGGAAATACACACTGCAAGAACTTCGAAAGCAAGCTATGAGGTCTCCTCATTTCTTAAAGATGAGGATATGAAAGTGCAGAACTTAAGGACCCAGTTTGCAGAGGTACAGAGCTCCCACAACTGCTATTAAATTGGAATTGTGGTGCTCAGTACCTCTGAAAATCAGTTTCTAGGCGAGTGATTTGTCCAAGGTCACAAAGGAATACTGTAGCAGAGCCAAGAATAGAACCCATAATCTTAGAGCATAAGACTACTCATCTGTTCCTAAGGAAAAAAAGTAATTAAATTTTATAGCGTATTTCTATTAATTTGCTTGCATTAATGTTAAGGAAATTTCCATGATAAGCACAGCCCTAAAGTGTACTCCCTCAAAATATATTATTTTCTGACAGTCTCTTTAACTACAAGGAGTATCTATTACTTCAGGAGGCTGACACAACAGCTGTGCTGCAAGCAGGAGGAAACCAATGAGTATAGTTGCTCTCTGGCTTTTTCAAAGAAAATAAAGGGGTCCTTAAAGGGAAAACGATCAATCTTCTTTGTTTGAAATTCATCAGTTTCAAGTAACTCCAGTTGCTGATACCCTCTAAATAGTATGTAGTAAATAATATAAATTCCTTTTAAAAACATATGAGGATTTTGCGGCTCCTCTGACTGTTTAAGTGACTCTTCAGCAAGAGAGAAATGAGAGTGAGAAAGTGAAAATGACTATATACTCCATACAGTCAAATATGCAGAATAAACTCGGGGGGGACTAGAGAAATATGACTTCACTTAAATAGGAATTTTGGGTGATGTGTGTAACTGTAATAGATACCAAATTTTCAGGAACAGGTGACCTTTTCAATATGGTGTCCTAACCTGCTTTAGTCAGAGGTACTGCTGTGAAGTTAGCCTTATGCTGTAGCTTACTCTGTAAATTACCATAAAGCAATACCCTTAAGGCTTTCTGACGTTTATAAAACTTGGAACCCCTTATCAAGAATGCTTGCTGTGCTCATGGAGAAAGAGTGACTTATATTTTTCCATGATTCTCTGCAAATATTCCAAAATGGCAAATTTGTCTAAAACAAGAATAATTAGTTTTTTTCCTTTGATATCTAATGTAGCTTTCAACAAATTTCTCTTCTAGTTTCACTGTGTATATTTGCATCCAGTCATTGCATGTTTTATTAATAGATTTGCCCTATTTAGCTGTTTGGAAGCATAATTCACCCTTTAGAAACAGCATTAATTATTAAATAAAACAATTTCTGCACAAAACTGTGAGACTCTGACAATCCAATAACTCAGACTCCCTTTGGATAAATCTGGGCCCTGATGCATTTGCCATGTGTAACTTGGCGGGAGCTGAGCAGCCAATCTGGCTGTGTACCAAGGAGGCTGTACACATCTCTTGAGAGTGAGTGGAAATAACGTGGGGGACAGGGAGAAACCCAGCTTCTTCCTGCTGCTGCCCAACAAAGACAGTGATTCCATCCCAGCAGGCCTCTCATCAATATTAGTTAGACAGTTTGTCTTCATGGTGCCTCCACAAGGTCCCTGCAAGTGCGGGAGGGGTATGTTCACTCTGGCTCAGAGCAGCAGGGAATCCTTAATGGATTCATATACCACTTCTGGCTGATGATCTCATTCTGAGATTGTCCACTGGGGACTGGAGAGAAGCTGCTGTCGGAGAGGAAGGATAGTCTTTATGCTGCACAGGGACTCTGGGATCTGCACTGTATTACCGTCTCTGCTATGGGTTTCCTGCAAGATGTGGCCAAGTTACTTAATTTCTGTGTGCCCTATTTCCCCATCAGTAAAATGAGGAAAGTACCTCCCTAGTATTAATGAATTTATCCTCATGATACCCTTTTGAATTAGGAAAGTGCTCCAATACTATAGCGATCGGGGGGAGGAGGGGCAGCAGGGTGCTTAGAAAAGCCAACAAATAAGATCCTATTTCAGGGGCATACCTGTCTGAAGACACTGACACTGGCCTCCCTACCCACCCTTCATCAGCTCAACTCAGCTTTAAGCACTTTACTTCTGCAGAATCCTCCCCTGCCTTCTCTGCTGGGCTGACTGGATTCAGGATCATTTGGCACAGTG